TGTAGCACGGACTTCCACTACATGCAGATTTTACCACCGAGACTTGAAAGTGGCTGTAGCATCGTAGTTACCCTGTTAAAATAGATGCAGATGGCGTCCTTTCCCAGTGCGGGAAATCGGTGTCGTAGAAAATGCCATGTCGGCCGCTCTCAGGTTTCTCTCTGATGATAGTGGGTGTTTTCCAGCAACAGAACACAGTCATACACTGTGTGACACAGTGTTACACAGTGTCGACTTGTAGCTGGAACGCTGCTTAGCTTTTTCCTTTCACCGTCAGAGTGCAGGGCAGTTACTTTATATATCTTGTTACTAGTTTGCAATGCAAACAGACATATGTCAATAATTTAAAATAATAATCTAAATCGTTACAAGATACTTTCTTATAAGTTATATAAAGGTTAGTGTTTTTTAACAAAATTTTCTTATAAATTAGCTTATTTATCAAATATATAGAAGAGAATGATTAAAAAAATCTTATTAAATTATGTACATTAAATTGTTATGGAAAAGTAATCAATTAAATAAATATATTTTTTATAATACTATTTTTAATATTAATTAAATATAGCATGTTTTATTTTATCTTTTCACTTTATTTAATTTTATATTATTAAAAAAATTAATAGTTTTATTAATTAATTAAGTAATTTTAATATAGATGAATGGGAAGGAAAAGATAGTTGTTAATCTTGTACTGGAGAGTATGATAAACACCAGTATAAGCACAGAAGACTCAAGCAACAGTGAAATAGACTGGAACAATAGTAGTCTTTCAATTGATGATACATCTTTCAGTAGTGAAGAAAACGATGGTTATTTATTGTTGTTTCCTTTAATGAAATATTTAATCAGTGGGTGTAAAAGACATCGAGTTGAAGATTATCTTCATGTTGTGGATAGTTGGACAGATTTAGAATTTAAAGAGCACTTGCGAATCAAGCGTAATTTAGCAATTCGATTAATAGGTAATATTCATTTTAAATACCAAATAATTTATATTTTTAAACATGATTTTATAATATTTAAAACATATAATTCTTTATATATTCTAGATGAATTGCATGAAAGTGGATTTATTCCTTCTCATTCGTTTGGAGTGAGACCAATTGAAGCGAAACTCAGCTTTCTTATATTTTTGTGGCACTTGGCAAATACAGAATCTCTACGAACAATATCAGATAGATTTGACGTTTCAATTTCATCTGTCTTTCGAGTAATTCGCCGAGTGACAGCTTGGATATTGATAAAATTAGACGACGTTATTAAATGGCCCGAAGGACAACACGTCGCATATGTTTGTCATCAGTTTTATGCTAAAAGAGGCATTCCAAATATAATGGGGGCTATTGACTGCACTCAAATTAAAATAGAGAAACCTAATGTGGAGAATGCAAGAGATTATTGTAACCGGAAAAAATACTTTTCTGTAAGCCTACAAGCTGTTGTAGATGCGCATATGAAATTCACTAACATATACTGTGGTCAGCCAGGTTCTCTCCATGATGCACGAGTCTTGAGAAAATCTGTATTATACAATTCAGTTAATGAACATAGAGAAGTAATTTTTCCAGATGAAAAATTTATAATAGGAGACTCTGCATATCCGTCTTTACAATGGCTTGTTCCTCCTTTTCGTGATAACGGTCATCTTACTCTTCTTCAGACCGAATTTAATTTCATACTTTCTTCAACGCGTATGGCTGTAGAAAAAACATTTGGTTATCTGAAAGGACGTTTTCGACGAATAAAATTTTTTTCGGAATGCCGTGAAATGCCGTTTATTACAAATACAATTGTAGCTGCATGTATCTTACATAATTTATGTTTGAATTATGACGATGATAGTGTCGATTATGATGATGTCGAAATGGAGGAACTGAATGATAATATTTATGATAATGTAAATGAAAATATTAATTTTGGACATCAAGTAGATCGAAGGATGCAATTATTGAGGGAAATATTTGACCAGGAATAAACAATGTACACTGATTATTATATTGGTTTTATTTATTTTATTATATTATACCCAGGCAGCAAGCCTAGGTTATTTGTTATTAAAATAAATGTATCATATAATACAATAAATAATTTGCTAACCATCCTCATGCTAAGGCTTTTATATTTATTTAATGTCTAAAAATGTTAATACACATATATTTTTACATCCTGCAATATAAATGTTATATTTTATAATGCAATTAAAAATCTATTGGCGTCTAAAGACGTCAATAATACTTCATTAAAATGTCTTTAGACATCTTTAGACATTATTTTGCTACCTGATCAAATAATAAAAAAGTACTATATACCTTCCATGGTTCTAATATATCTCCTCACTTTTCTTCTTAGTTGTAGGTGTATCCTCATGTCCTTTACATCTCAATATAACCTTAAAAATGTTTACCTCCTATCAGAATTACCACTCCGTAGAAAAATAAATGGTATCAGATTTAAAAATGTTGGTATTCATGGAGTGACAACCAGGGTTGTTAAACTTCCATGTAAAATTTCTGACCAGTGTTTTAACGCCATCTAAAAGATGACCCCCAATAATATATGAACTACGTAGCAAAGTAACTTACCGATCGATAAAGATGAGCTCTTATTCGTTTTAGTATATTTAATTTTATATTTAAATTTTAATCAATTTATTGGATTTGGAACAAAATGAATAACTAAAAAGCAATTTTAAAAAAATAAACAATTTAAAACAATGTATACTCATTCTTTATTTTATTTTTTTTCACTGTTTTTTTTTGCATATTTTGTTGATATTCGCATTGCTGCTTTATACATATAATTATCGCTATCTGTTGTTATCTTTTTACATAAAATGTTGTTGATATGTGTACACCAAGCATCTATACTTGTATTATGTATAAACAATACAGGAACCGCAACATTTAATAAAATACGTTTATGCAAACATGGACTATAGTCTTCTGGACGAAAATGTTTATGGCACACTTTATTTTTTTGTATCTCATTGCTTGGATAATTTTCTAAATGTTTCAATTTCAAACTTTGTACCCATTTTGAGCATCTTTCAGGATCTTTGGGAAATCGATGTGAAGGCACTTCTTTCCCAGACTTGCATTCAGGAACACAACATGTCCTCCCCATATCTATGCTCAAATATCTTAGAGGGACGTTCTTTTAAAATCTATGATGCAACGTACGCTGAAAACATTTTCGATGCTACAAATAAAAAGTAACGTAACAAATACTTACGTCTAAATAACAAGCGTGTTAATATGTTTTTACCTTCACCGTATATATGGTAGTTTGGAGCGAGCGACGATGACCACACAAAAAAATTCCTTTAATTATAAGAAGTGTTAAACAACGTTCAAATATTTATTGTAGAAATATAGTTGGCTGCGTTCAGCGAACATAAGTAACATATACACGCACCAGTCTTACAACAGACGCCATATTGAATTTTTGGCATCGTAGTTCACATTTCCTGGGGGCTATCTTTTAGATGGCGTTAAAACACTGGTCAGAATTTTCCCATAAGAGTTTATCAAGCCTGGTGACAACACAGTCGAACACAGCATTTTAGCTGTGTCCAATTGTGTCGACTTGTGTCGTAGTTGGAAAGCACTGAGTCGGACACTGTGTTACACAGTGTCACTTGTGTACGTTACTAGAAAGCACCCATTGAGCAGCACTATGATTGGAATGTACGAGAAACTTGAGTCAACCAATCATAGTGATTTGTTTCGTTGTTCAATTGGCACCATATTCAAATTCGAGATATGCAAAATATTTGGGACGATTCTGATATTTAAAATATTAATGTTATTGTCAAGACGAAAGCACGAGTTTTTCGACATTATTGGAAAACTGAATTCTCAAGGCACTCATTATGTGTTTATATTCTCCTTCAAATTTCCTAACGCGATTAGTTTTATATTTTCATCTGGTCTAATTACATTAGCTAGAAACAAGTCCAAAATGCGACATGTACTATCATCTGCATGAGATGTAACGTACCACACTGCGTATGAAAACAGTCAACGACAGTTATATTTCTGAGCTATATATAGTAATTACTGGTAATGGTATAATCGGTGAGTGCACTTTGATGACAATGAATTTAATCTGTTCTTGTTCGAAGATCTTGAACTGGAAGACATAGCCAATAGTCTTTATTGTCCCGTCGGCTGAAACAGTCGATACTCTTCGTTCCCGTATCGTTCTTCAATTATCGCCGGGCCCCTCGCAGCCTCTTTGCCAATACGAAAATTTACTCAGGGCTGAGTCTTTTTATCGAAAAACTTCAACTATTGCACATTAATAGCACAATAAAGTGCAATAAGTTAAAGTGAGGCAAATATATTTCGTTTGATAGTCGCCGGCATTGATTATTGTATTTCTAGATGCACTCGATCTCTATATTCGTCTCTGCTGAAATACATATTGACAGTCTGAAAGTTGACTATTCTATTCTGCACCCGTGTAAATTGAACCGAACCATTTTACTATATCAACTATATTGTCCTCAATTCATACATGAAGCAACATTTTTCGAATTATTACAAAACCTTTACAGCCTTGACGGTCTTAAACTATTGAGAGCATTTAGTCAAAATGTAGAACTTTTCAGTTATTATGTAATTACATGTCAAATTTGACATACTTCATATTTTCATATTTAAATAAGCAATACACAAATGCTAGTGTTGAGTAGGGACATATTACCATTTATTTTCGCATTAAATATCGCTTACATTTAACAAAAATGCTTAAGATTGCTTTGTTATATACTTTCAAATATTTGCAAAGTAAAAAGTTTGCTAAATATTAAGAATAATAGTAATAGCAAAGTAAACTTAAAACGATAAAATAAAAGAAATACATGAAACAAAAAAATATTGATAGTAGTAGTACACTACTTAAGCATTCTATTTAAATATAGCAAGAAAGATTCATTCAACAGTCACACAGTTTCTTAAATTAATATAGCAATTTAGAAGTAGCACAATTTAACGCTGTTATATGGTCAAGATAATTATGACATGTATTTCGCTTAAACAGTAATTATACTTTCGATAGTATCCAGAGTAGGACTAAACACAATTACAAGCATGAACAAATGTACTCAAATATTCTAATGGCGTAAGATTAAAACTTCTGCAGGAGGCTGTCAATTAACCACAAAAATGTCACACAAATCCTTATTGATATCTCAACACAAAATAGAAATCAAGAAAAAAAAAAAAGAAATTAAATTATAGTGCAATTTTTTGTTATTGATCATAATTTTATCCATTAAAATTTTCACAACTATGTAAATCTGATCCTGCTGCAGATTCATAGGAATATTAATTCAATCTTCTGATTTCAGCAAACAAAGACGTTTCTAAAGTATGGTTAGTTATAAATGTATAATATTCTAATATTCCTGGGATGCTTTGTCACCCTTTCCAGACCCACCAGTACCAGTTTTCTTGGGCAAAAGGACCGCTTGGATATTAGGCAGAACACCACCTTGAGCAATAGTTACTCCAGATAATAGTTTATTAAGCTCCTCATCATTCCGGATGGCCAACTGTAAGTGACGTGGAATTATCCTGCAGAAAAAAAAAATATTTATAAATTTCAATAGAATACACATATAAGTTGAACTGCTTATATTCTCATAGAAATGTCCAATTTATTTTGTATCCTATAGAATTCCAATTTATTTTCTTGCTTTATTAATGTTATGTGTATGCAAGAAACTAGCAGATATAATCAATCTGTTAGCAAGGTTAAACACACATACATACACACATGAGGGTTTGGAGATTCTAGAATATAACTCAAGGGCAACATTGATAAATATCAGAATCACGGGATATAACCGAAATTTTGTCACCGAGCGTTGCCGGTGAATTAGCACGACAGAATATTATAATCAACGGGATATTGCCGGGAGAAATTGAGAAATCATTTTCCCCTTAAATCGGTTAACGGTGGAGATGCTCCTCCTTCCATATGACGCGACAGACGAGGGTGCGAAGAAACCGAGCGAGACGCGGACGCGAGATAGAAAACAGGATGCCGTAGCGTGATGCGCGAGCGAAAAGGAAAACTAGATAAGGATAAATAGAGCGCAAGAGAGACACAGCGTGAAAGAGCGACAAAGACGGCGAATAGGAAAGACAGAAAGGAAGGGGGAGGGAAGGAGGGAGAGATAGAGATAGAGATAGAGAGAGAGAAAGGAAGGGCTCGCCACCGACCTTGTTTTTTTGTTATCTCTGGCTGCGTTTCCAGCCAACTCGAGCACTTCGGCCGCCAAATATTCCATCACGGCTGCGAGGTAAACCGGTGCTCCAGCGCCGACGCGTTCCGCGTAGTTGCCTTTTCTCAGGAGACGATGGATTCTCCCTACGGGGAACTGCAGCCCTGCCCTGCTGCTGCGAGTCTTCGCCTTTCCCTTGGTCTTGCCTGCAAGCGAAAGGACATGCCGGGCATCATCGCGGATCGGCCTCGCCGGCGCGAGGTAACGGACGTGTGGCCAACGGATGATCTCGCTTTTCTACTCACCGCCTTTACCGCGTCCCGACATATTTCACTGATTGAGGGTCGCGCTTGATTTTTCGTGCGTGGGAGAGAGACACACGTAGAGAGCTTCAGCTACACAGACACGACAGCAACGAGCGCCGAAACCCGAATGAAGCCACGGCCCGCGCAACCACGATGCTCACGCGCATGCACGTCCGATATTTTGGCGGCGACCGCGTCCGGCTGGCACTTGTTTGCGCGGGAACGGTCGGCCGTAGTGTCGCCACTACGCACCGCCGGAAGTCCCTAGCCTGGCGAGCATTATTTCAGAATTACACATCGCCGTCTTAGCTCCACCTTCTCTCTCCCCGCGCAATTTGTTAATTCACCCTTCCTCTTTCCCAGATGGTCTCAGGATCCCTCCTGAATATATATATATATATATTTATTTTATTTTTGGAGTAAAGGGACAGAGAATAAATCATCTCATCTTTCGATACTTTCATGATGATCGTGGACATGGCCGTGAAAATTAACGCGAGAGATGTAGAATGAAGATATATTCACAATGAAAATACTGTCATAGCTACCGATCTTATGGTAGTACTCTGCGCATTCCGCAAAATTCGCAATGCCGTGAGTTCCGGCAATTGCAATCAAAGCGACGCAATGAAATGTTTCATTTTCATTTGCGGTTATTACACTGCGTAATTGGAAATGTAAACAGCATTTTTCAAATATTCCCGAAAATACGTGTCTATTGTTCAAAATAAATACAATTCTAACGCATTAATGTAATTTTGCTTCGTACAAATTGCCAGGACAAAATCTCCACTATTGATCCATTTGCATATAATACGTAGACAGTATTCTGAAACTCTTAAATTAAAATGCACTAATCAAACGTTAATTGAAGTTGAATTTTCGTAAATTCATTTTGTCTTTAGCAAGACAGCTACCTCTCTCTTACTTATACTCATCATCAATCCGAGGATTCCTATTCTTGGACAGTGGAGGATAATGAAAAGAAACACTCCGCAAGTTCATGTTTTCAACAATTTACTCCTAGGCTCTTGTTCTGGCCAGTTGACTGAGACCGGCGCGCACTGACGGTCTCCCTCTTCTGTTACATAATACATAAAAATAATGATATTTACAAATGTAAGGAGAAATGTTAGGCACTCAACGAACGAAACGGCGAAGAAAAAAAATTATAAAGTCTTGTCACGCACACCGTGCGGACGAGCGCGATTTCTACGGTGTGCGATAAATCGAAGAGATGCACTCAAGGGATAAAAAGAGAAAGAGAGCGAGATAAAGTTTTTTTTTTTGAGGATATAGAGAGATAGAGATAGAGAGAGAGAGAGAGAGAGAGAGAGAAAGAGAGAGAGAGAAAGAGAGAGAGAGAAAGAGAGAGAGAGAGAGAGAGAGAGAGAGAGGTGAAAAGAATATCCAGAACGCACCTACTCGGTGTGACTCTCAGACACGTCAAACGTAAAGGAAAAGACGAAAGGAATGACGAAGGAAGGAAATAAGAATGAGAAGGAAAAAAAGAAAGGACGAATTGGAAAATAATAATGGGATCGATTTCTTCCGAATTTTGTTCGCCACTATAGACGGACGTACGTACGAGACGAGAGTCCGATTGCCGTGTTAAAATGACGCGTTGGAATGTTGGTGGTCGGGTAACAAGCATGTTTTTTTTCATTTTGTGGAATGTGCTCCGCACGAAGTGTCTCTCGCGATTTCTTCGTTTCTTTTGAAAAATTAAGTCGCATTACCTAAGTACCGCAGTATCGTGTCACGACGTTTTAACGCTCCTCCCCGTAGACTGTATTCACTGGCCTTCGTGTATGTGTGTATGTGTTCATGTATGTTCGTAATAGTGAACGGTGGACATTGGAAAGGAAGGATTCGTTCGCTATACCTCGAATCTTGCGCGTGTAACGCGCGCGATTCCGTTTTCCCGTGGTGCGGACATGTCCGTAGGACTAGAGTTCTCGTGTCGTCGGGATCGATTAAGTTAAAACGTAAAACTCTCTCGCGTGCAACGCTCTAACGTCCGAATAAATACTCCCTGCAACGCGCGTTCAAACTCGCACGAGACGCAGGCAAGGAGGCTCGCGATCTCTCATCGCCTCGTGCAACGATCAAGTTCGTCTCACCCCACGCGTGCTCGCATCGCGTAAGGATAAGGACGTAGTCGCATAGTTGCGTGCGAGTGGTTCCTCGACACTTGCCAGTCCAATATATTTATATATGTGTATATGTACACATGTATGTGTATATGTACACACACACACACACAACACACACACACACACCACACACGCGCGCGCGCGCACGCACGCACGCACGCACGCGCACACACACACACACACACACACACACACACACACACACACACACACACACACATACATACATATACATATACATACATACATACATACATACATACATACATATATATATATATATATATATAGTCAATGTGTCCTTTCGATCCTCATGAATAATGTACTCCTCTCTTCTCTAACGCTTAACTTTATCAATCGGTCGACATACAAATTGCGTGATATATATCATAGTTCTTTCAAGTATAACTCGACGTAAAAGTCCACATTACGCAGAATAAAATAAGTTACACGCGCGATTTGTCTATTTTTCTTTTCATTAAAATATTATGATACAAATTACAATTATATTTATGCTCGGAGTGTAAGAGCCGTTAGAGGATGAAACTAGAAAGCCTTAGTCGTGTGTTTAACTCGCGGTCGTAAAAACTGCGTTTCCACGGATGGGATGCTTCGATTTGTACAGTCCAACTTTATACATATCCACGTACAAGATTGATATGACTCCGCGTTTGCAATTCAAGATCGGCGCGCGCTCGGCGAAGTGCGCCCAAACAATACCTATCGATTAGTGCGGTAAGCCACGGTTGAGCCACGGTCGCGATCGCAGCCTCGGTGGATCTGCCAGCCGGGGGAATCGAGAACCTCCGCATTTTCCGACACGACCACCCGTCGTCAACGGCGCGAGGGCGTTGTACTATGCAATAATAAAATCCGCAAAAAACAATACACACGAGAAGGATCGCTGTACATTTGGTCACTGAAAGTTATCGTCCTTAATCGTTACTTATCTAAATGTTACGTTTAGCGGTATGTGTACTTTACGCGCTAACGGCCCTTAACCCGCTGATAATATCACAGATGAATGAGTTTCCGTGTTGTGCGTTATGCGACGCTATCTAAGGTTCCTAATGAGTGCTTTGATCCGTTCGATTTTGTCACTGAGCTTTCGCCTCTCGGAATCAAGGGCTGTTCTAGCGGACAGGAGCTCGTAAATCTTCCGTTCTAACTGAATGGTTTCGGAACGCAAGATGTTGGACTGCGCCACCAGTTTTGATGTTTCGCTTGTCAGAATTCTCTTCTCCAGTGCCTTCTCTAGAAAGGGCAGGAAATTACGCGCAATGTTTTGTTATGTCGTATCGAATATCGTGATATTTGTCTATCATATATATATATACATATATATATATATATATACTGTGTGTGTATATATATATATATATATATATATATATGCATTAGGGGTACTCATAAATAATGAAGTATTTCAAAATGAAACACATTTAAAAGTCTATAGAGCTTTTATTCTTTTTTAATCAATCATATAATAATAAGTTGAATATACCTTATCCAAATAGCACACTAAGAAAATACTATTTATATGCTACACAGCTCAAGTAGAAATCGATAAGTATATAAGAGTCGTGTAAACACTTGTTTACTTATGGGTACCCCTAATATAATATTGTATAACGGAGGATTCTCGGCACGCACCTTTCAAATATTCTTTATAAGCGTACATAATATCCTCGATTCCAGTCCACTTCGACTTCTCTTTCTTCTCGCTCACTTCTTCGGTGCTCTCGCTGATGTCTATGGTTTTACAGTGCTGTTTCACACCGTTCTCACCAGGTATAGGCGGTATAGGTAAAGTAGGATAACACATCGAAACGATATTCGGAACCAAAGGTGGTAGCGGTGGTGGACGTTCCGGGATGTGGTTCTTTTTAACTCTATCCAGAAGTCGCATCTTTTGAGATGATGGTTTTGGTAAAGCTGGAGGATTCTTAGAATAAACTTTGGCGATTCTTTCACAGTAAGCAGTAACGGAGTTCGCGCTCTTTCGTTTCTTGCGATCTTGTAGAACGTACTGCCATGTCTCTTCTGCCTCTGTAACCATGTAATTCATTCCACGCCTTTACATAAACTTTAGAATAAGCGTTATTCTAGCAAAGATATCTAATAATATGTGTCATCCTTACCGTCTCTTTTATTGGGAGGCATAATATCGAGGCCTATGGTCCTGAGAAAGCCAACTTTGGGCTCGAAATCTGGCGTGTGAAGCAAAACGTCCGGATGCTCGCGCGGAATCGGCAAAACGGACTCAACTACAGGCTCTACTTTTGCCGGAGGTAGTTCTGGCGGATCGGGATTCAATTTGAATCTCTTCTCGACCTTACACAATTCTATCTCTGCAAAAAGTCGCGAACGTTACGCGAAATTAAAATCGACAGAACCAAGAGAGAAAGAAAATAGAAACGAACGCGTCTTAGAGCAGTGGTGGCGCGCGATCCGCTTACCGTTCTTGGTGTTTAGCGTGGTCAAGCCGAACATGGCCAGAAAGGACAATTTCTCGTCGGAATACTGTAGCTTAGCCGGTGGGCCTTTCGTGATCCAAAGATCCAAGTCTTTGGTCTCCTCTTCGGCTTCCGAGTCTGAGCTACACGTGATGACGCCCGCGTTCCTCTCTCGCTTCCGCTTGCGTTTCTTCTCGGCTAAATCGAGGGACGACGTCAGCTCCTTCGGCTTCTCAGGTACCAGAAAGGTTATCTCGCCACTGGTAAGGTCCTTGACTCCAAGAGCCTTGCTGAGGTCAGGCACGTTCAGCACCGCTGGTTCGCACCTCACGGAAATCTCAGTCAAATTATTGCACTTGTCGGTAAAGCAAAACGCGGTCGTCTTCAGATCGTTGTTGCTGCTCGAGAAGTTCAAGAGCTTCTCCTGATACTTCGGGATCTGCAGGAGCACGTTAGAGACGTTCTGACAAGTGCGCAACACCTCCTGGGACTTGATGCTCTGCGCAATGTCACATATGCTGAACTGAAAGTGCGATTGAAACGGTAATGTGGACAAGACGTTCTGATCGCATTGCGTATTACGATCGATCCCGGTGATCTGCTGGTTCTTCTCCTTCTCAACGTTAGGTTCCGATGGATAAGGGGGCGGGAACCATTCATCTTCCTGCTGCTGGCTCAGGGGTTCCTTCTTAATCGAAGTCGTCGCATCGTGATTCTGATCCGGCGGCTGCGGCTGCGGCTGCGACTGTTGTTGCTTAATATTCGTATTCTCGCTCGCGTTGCTCTTCTCGTTGCAGACACTCGGCTTGACATCGTTTGTCGAGACATCCGAATTACTCTTGTGATGCGTGCTCGTGTGATTCGCGATTTTATCGCCGCTGCTGCTACTAGTAGTAACCGCTACTGTAACTGCTACTGTAACCGGTACTGTAACCGGTACTGTCACTGCTACTGCTACTGGTGCGGTTGCATTGTTCGCGCTGAGACCGGCACCGTTGTTGCTTATCGCCTTCTCGCTTATCGCGCTGGAAACGCAGTTGGTCGTATTCTCGTTTCGCGAGCTAGCCACCGTTGTTGTCGTAGTCGTCGTCGTCGTCGTCGTCGTCGTGGTCGGATGAGACTCGCTGACGTGTTGCACGTTACTCTGTTGCTTCACGCCGTTCGAAGTAGTCACGACACTCGTGCTGACGCTACTACTACCGCTGTGACTGATGCTGCTGCTGCTGCTGCTGCTGCTGCTGCTGGTTATCGTAGGTACGTTGAGCTTGAGTTGGGAGTGATGCTGCTGTTGCTGTTGCTGCTGCTGCTGCTGCTGCTGCTGCATCTGTTGTTGTTGCTGTTGCATCTGCTGTTGCAGCAGCAGCTGTTGCTGATAATGATGTGGCGACAACAACGACGACGGCAACGACAGAGACGACGATAATGACGAAAAGTGCGGCGGCTTGTACAGACTTGGCACATGCGGGATGGGTATATGCGGATGATACGGTTGCGGCATATATGGGATCGGATGAACAAGCGTTGGTTTCGGACCGCTCATGGATTTCGCATGGCTGCTGCTATCCAACGTCGAGGTCTCCGGCATCACCTGACTGCCCACAGCCTGAGACACGGCCGGTGTCGGCATCGGTGAGGACTTCAACGACGACTCCGGCACGTGATGACCGATCTGGTTGGCTATACTGTGGTTATGACTGCTCGTTGCCGGCTTCGGCTGTGTTTTCGTCGACGAGCGGAACGAATCCTCGAAAGGCCTGACGAAAGCCGGCTGAGACGTGGTCGTTGTGCTCGTCGTAGTCGTCATGGTCGTCGTCGTGGGTAATGTTCCCGTCGCTGTGGGCAACGTTCCTGTCGCTGTGACTGACACTTCTTTGTTTCTCATGATAGAAAAGCCATGCGACAGCGGCGGGGATTTCAGGGTCATGTGGTGCATCGCATTCAACAATGACGAAGAGCCGTTTGGAGGCGTCAGTAAGTGCGTCGTCATTGTGTTAGACACGGAACTCGTAGTCGTCGTGATATTCGCACTGCTCACGCGTTGTTGTTGATGTTGCTGCTGCGACTGCTGTTGCGGCTGTTGTTGCTGCTGCTGCTGCTGCTGCTGCTGTTGTTGCTGCTGCTGCTGCTGCGGCAGAGATTGGTGCTGTTGTTGTTGGTGATAAGTGGAAGAGGTGACGTTGGTGGTAGTTGCGCTGCTCATCGTATGCTGACTAGAATGGAGAGTACTCGACGGCACGGAGGGTAGGTGAAAGGAAGGGATGGAAATGATGGGTGGAAGAGACATGCCCAAGGATAACGACGGCGGCGGTGGAGGTCCTATTACACCCGGCGCTAAAGATGGAATAGAGGGTATAGTAGGTATAGTTGGTATAGTGGGTATCGTTGGTATCGTGGGTATCGAAGGTATGGAGGATAGCGAGGGTATCGGGGGTATCTGCGGAGGACCGATCCGCGCGGTGCTTATAGCCGTCGGTGGTCCGAGGTTCAAAGGGGGCAAGGTGGAGCCCAAAGAGGGTGCTATAGGCGCGGAGTTATCGGAGCATATGGAAGTTGAGCCCAGGGACGGTGCGATGGGCGCCACTGGAGCCGGGAAAGTTGGCAGGCGAGAATGGTAGATGCTGGCCGCTGCCGTTGGATCGGAAGGCGTTGGCGGCGGTGGAACTGGCGCGGGCAGCTGCTCTTCTTTCCGAGACTGATGATGATTGCTGCTGATGTTGCCGGCGTTGCTAGTATTGTTACCAGCACCAATGTGGTTGGCATTGCTGACACTGTTTCCACCGCCGCCACCGCCACCGCCACTGCCACTTCCACCGCCACCGCTACTGCTACCGCTATTGCCACCGCCACCGCCACCGCCACCGCCACCGCTGCCACTTTGTCGTTCTCTGCCGTCGCGTTCACGGTCCCGATCGCTATGCATCTGAGTCGCTATGGTCGGCTTCCTAGCTGGAACAAATCCCGAACACAGTGCTTGGTGATCTTCCACTCGTCTACAACGAAAGATATTCCGGCCACTGCGATATGTTGCGCGGTTCTTCTGCCGCGGGTTGCGCTCTTAAGTGTGCAACCGCAGCACATGCATAAAACATTCGGTCTTACTCCGGAGTATCACGAAATGGCGCAACGGCAGTCTGAAACAAGTTCAAACAGGGGCGCGAGGGTCGTTTCCCGCGATGAAGGAGAAGTAACATATCGCTATAGCCAGGCCAGGACGTATCTTGCGACTGCACCAAGACTTTTCCGATATCAACCAACAAGGTTTGAAGAACAGTCGCATTTATTACATCATATACGCATATATATTTTTTCTTTTTTTCTTTGCTTTTTTAGATTTTGAGACACGATCTTACAAATAAGTTCACGCGCGAGGAGAAGCGTTAAGAAAATATTCTAATTATTTCATAGTTTGATCACACATGTGAGCTCGATAATAGACAATATTGCATAGTTATGTAAATTAATGCATGTTATTAGCTCTCTTAACAATACTTCCAATTAATGGTCGCAATAAATTTACATTTGGCTTGTCAAGCATAATCGAGTGGATCGAAAACGACCTATCTAATGGATTAAAGAAGACCGATACACGCGACGACAACTTGAAAGTTTATGAATTTATTTCGCGTACTTGCCCATCTGTTCTAACTTACCTTAGTCTCGCTCAATTATTCCGGCGCTATAAAAAGTTCCTTAATGTATTTTACTTCGAAGTATTGGGGATGATTTCTGTGTTATATTCTTCCAACGAAGCCAAGTGGAAAAAAGAAGAAAAAAAAAAAGAAGAAAACCAATTCTCTAAGCTATCGGGGCAATCAGCGTTGCACTAGCGTTAACAGCAGCGAGTGTATTTTTTTTGCATAATAATAATTGCAGTAAAATAGATATCCAAGTAATTACCGAATCTTCCCCAAAACTGTTTCAGAAAATGATTCGAGGGTCAAGAATTTCAAGTCCATTAGAATTTTAATCATATTTTTTGCAATTTTTATTTTCATTTATAGTCCAAATATACATGTTTACATAATAAATTATATAAAAATGGTGTAATTTTGACAAAAAAAAAACGTGTGTAATAAAGTTATATACATCGGTCGATTCAGTCAGTATGAGAGGAGCAACATGTTTGCTACAATTAAGGGAAACTATTTTGACATTAAGTGGTTAATTGCAAAATTTCTAAAACAGTTGCGGGAACTAACGCAAGAGTGCATCGCGCCTGATGAAAGAATACTTGACACATCAGATTACGGCTTCACGCACGAACAACCTCTACTTAAGTCCACGCCTTGAAATTATAAACGACGGTGCATCCGCCAAATAAACAATCGTATTTCGTATATTAACAATTTAAATCGTTAAATGACATAAGTGTAATTTATAACGCCTAATAAACACTAACTACATTAATAAACGCGCACCAGATTGTAAATAAGATCAATATGTATATGTGTGTGTATATATACATATGTGTATCGTATACGTAATCAATCATGTATCACAGAGCGCATCAAAGCTCCATGGTCTTAGATTTTAGTAACAACACATACGTTAAATAGAAAAGTTACGTAATATATATATAAAAAAAAAGGAAACAATAAAAAAAAGAATAATACGTGAAAAATGTCATATTTATCGTCTACACAACAGCAATCATTACCACTCGATGTATCATCTCGTAATTTTCACTTTTTCTCATCTCTTTTCTTCAAAATCGAAAACGAAAATTCCGACTTCCTTTCTCTTTAAAAGGCGTGCACTCTTATGTTTAAGTTTCGCTGTTATCAACTACAAAACGATTAACTATACAACCAACCTGCCGTCGTACAGTAAGAGATTTCATTCGTTCGAATACTACAAAAAACGATTCGAAACACGTATGCGAAGAACGTCGTGTACACAACAGGTGAATGATCGACCGAAGGCCGACTTACTGTTGGCTTGACATCGACATAAGCCAACAGCAAATAAGTCCGACTTCGGTCCGTAGATAAAAAGAAAAACAGCTAAATCGGGTCTCGGAAAATTGGGTTGCATTTGTTAATTTGTTCGTATCCTAGATTGAAACCACAGGATATGGGGCGATCGCTTGCGCGACCAAGCCCGCTCCCTTTTGACAGTTCGGTGAGTATCGAGTCGAGTATCGAACTGAAGTGGCGTTAGACCTCGCTCGGGCACCGAGTCTCTCTCTCTCGCGCGCGCGCGCGCGCGCGCGCTTACGCTAAAAAATATCCAACGCTACCTTCGTAAGAAATGAGTAACTATGTGACTATAAGTCTCATTAAATCTAGGTTAAAATTAGAAGCGTAGTATGCTGTTTGTTCTTTTTTTCTTTTCTTATCCTTTTTCTTTGCGTGTTCTCACAGAGTTAGACATTTTCTACAACGACTTCTCCTCGCTCTCGCGCCGCCAGTCCGTCTATCTACAGAAGAACTTTGGCTCGCAGTGCAGGTCGTTCGAGCGTTGCGCCAACGACGACGGTATCGCCGCTGGTAGTACGATCTCGCTTGGCACCGATCTCGGGATTACTAAAACTAAATGAAACAACTCGTGCGCGCGGGGCCACGAATCGTGACGCGCGCACGTGGCGTGCGCGCGCGCGTACGCGGATATGAGTCACTGTCTGAGGCATCTCCCTGCAATTCGACGTGTACGATTCTTTTATAAAACGATTTTCAAGATATCGGAACGCGCGCTTGGCGGGCTTTGTAAGAGCATGCCGTTTCAAGGAGATGCTGTTTACGAGAGTTGGATGATGATGATGAGGATAGCAGACTCGAGAGAAATTTGACAATTCGCGCGATACCGTGACGCTGCCGCAGAAAATGAAGGGGAATGCGACAGAGAGGAAGCGAAAGAGACAGACAGACAGACAGAGAGAGAGAGAGAGAGAGAGAGAGAGAGAGAGGGGGGGGAGTGGTAGGCAGAGAAAGAGAGTGAGAGGGCGAGGGGAGCACGAGAAAAGAGGCCGCGCCTTAACGAGCGATCCGGCAGATCGCAATCGCGCTTCGATCGACGCTTTCTTTTTTAATGAAAGGCAGTGGGGGGTGGAGCGACTCGCTCACCTGCAGTATCGGCGGATGCAGGTGCAGGAGTGGGTACCGGTGCGGCGGAAGCAGAACTTCTCGCTGCTCTTCTCCTCTCCTCCTCCTCTCGCAACGCAGCCTGCTCTCGTGCTTGCCTCAGTCTGTGCTCCTCCTCCAGCTTCAGCCTGAAACGAGAAACCGTATCGCCGTGTTAATTGAGAAATTCGCCGTCCTCCCAACCGCTCGAAGAGTCCTTTTTTCTTTTATCGCCTCTGTTCACCCCCCCCCCATCCACTGTCCCTACCATATTTGTATATACTCTCGTTACTTACCGTTCATGCATCACGGGAGACATGAGGCTCAGGGAGGCGGGCGGCGGAGGAAGCATGTCTGGACTGTATCTCAATCCATACAGAGGATACGACGGCAGTCCGGGAAACAACGGCGGTCTCAACATTCCGCACCGCTCCAAGTACAACTGTTCCTCTAATCTGTGAAACGGTACACGAGATCACGTTAGTACGGAATAGCTTAATCTAAGAACAGAAGAAAAAAGTCGCATGGCCGAACCTCTTTCTAAACACCAGAATTACCGGCGACTAACGCGACGTACTTCTTACGGACAGCGGTTGAAATGACAAGTTAGACCTTTGCAAAAACACACGTCATGCAAACACACGTGTTGATAAGTCTCTTTTAATTTTACTCAACGTCCATCAAAACTATGTAAATTTGTGCAATTCTTATTCTTATAATGAATTACAAACCGGTCAGTCATTAAAACCGCTTGGCAACTTTGGCGTTGGCTAACATCGGCAGGAGAGATTTTCGTCGAAGAGCACTTAACAGGACAATATGCTAAAATCGACGGTATCGTTGCTCACCTATAAGCGTGTTGCAGATGTGGCGGTGGGTAGAGACCAGGATGATAGGCGCTATAGGTCGTAGGATCCAGGGCGAACGCCGGTGGATGGGCCGGATGGTGCTCGGGCCGGTATGGCTGGAAACCGGAACGGGCCAGCAACTCGGTAGCCGCGGCAGTTACGCTGTGCTTGCTGCTTTCAACGGGTCTGGCAGTCGTAGTGTACAAGGAGGGAATCTCCTCGGGTCTTCGTTCATGTGTCGATCGCTCCTGGAAAGACAAATTTCAACGATACTCCTCGGCAAGCGCAGCATACTCCCCGTCCCTCAGAAAAAGACGCGAACGAGCGATTCGATCAGCGACGATCGACGATCGACGATCGCTTCATTTCGGATAATTAGTAGTGCACGTCGCGATTGCTCTTCGAATTGCACGCCGATTCCTGTCGAGAGTCGGGAAAGCGACACACGCTTGCACGTTTGCGAACTTTTTGAATTTTTGTGGGAAAAAAGAGCGCGAGCCAGATGGCGGGAAACCGGCAGAGTATCCCGAGAATTAACAATATTTTCAGAGGCGATTTCCTGGAAGGCGCGGGGCAACGCAAATTGCCTGAAATTTTCCTCAGCTTATAGTCTCTTCCGCCACTTAGACGTTACGAGCGGTTCGCAGTTTATTGCTGGGCGTTGTAACGAAGTCGTGCACCGAACCGGCAATGAGTTGCCGCTCGGATGACTTCGCCGTGGAAATTGGTAGGAAGAACGTGCACCTCCGGTCGGGTCAAGGCGTCGATGCGAAACTCCGTCGCAGCGGGTATGAAAATTTCTCGTCGAAAAAAAAAAAATTAGGCTATGTTATCAGCGCTAGAGATCTATGTCGTTTCATCGTTCTCTCGACCCTGTTTGTCAGTGTCTGCAGAAGTTGCATAATTGTGACTGGCAAGCATTCAGACAATACACGACAATATCGGTGACTCTTTTGACGACCAATTCGCATGCTGTGAAATCGCGAACGAAGAATGCGAATTAAGAAAAGGAGGCCGGGGAAGCGCGTATCGCGTGCTCAGTTTCGCGTTAACTTAATCCGGCATGTCAGACTGGAGAATCAGGCTTAAGAGATGCTTCGCATTTGCAACGCAACGGCGGGCGATACAATCGCGCCGACGACGGCGCGGAGAGCCGGGGGTCTTTGATCTCGCGATTATCGGGAATTGAGCTACCTTATTCGCTTTCCGCCCGAGCAAGCACCTTTTTCATTTCGTTATCGAGATTGGCTGCGTTTTCGGTCTACCTTTGAGCCTTTGACACCACCGGCAATCCCGCGAAGCCGTTTGAGACGCGTGCTTGCGAAATCATTCTCTTTTCCTTCCGCGCCGTTTGCCGTTAGTAATTCTATATACCGCCCCGACACTTTCTCCCCTTTGGTGACGAGTCGTAATCCTTCCCCCCCTCCTCCCCTACCGTCAGCAATTACTTCTTAAGATCGCGTGAGCTCCGAAACGCAATATCACGCGCGCAAGGTGTTCGGGAATTCGCACGCTTTCTCTCGATTACGAACCTTTTGCCGAACGCGAGGAAGTGCCGCGTGAGAAGCCGTCAATCGGCAGCTTTTAATTCCCGACATCGACAGAGTGTCTCGTTCTCGGTTAAATATCGATTGAAATTTCTACCGGGGACGTAATTTCCCCAGATGCGAATTCAGAGTCGGCGAACATTATCCGGTCGCTTACGCACGAATCCCGAAGAAGCACCTCAGCAAGAATTTCCCCCAAGTCGTTTCAACGTCGAAGCAACGTCGCAACCGTCACTTTCCTACGCGCGACAGGCTCCTGCTAATCTTACAAAATAAATCGTGTCATCGGTAATGAGCGGACCCGACAAATCCCAAAGAGAAAAAGAAAGAGAGAGAGAGAGAGAGAGAGAGAGAGAGAGAGAGAGAGAGAGAGAGAGAGAGAAAATATATGCACCCTCGTCTCGTGTCCGCGCTGTTCCGCATCCATTTACAACATTTCTCATCAGCCCAACCGTACGAGAGGAAAAAGAGGAAATAAAAAAGAAAAGAAAGCGCCGTCCACGTCGCAGAGGCGAACACCGACCCAAGACGACCGATGTCAACGATTTTTCTCAGCTGCGCGCGCCCGTGATACCCCGAGCACACATGCTTATTATTCCGATCATGGGACCACCGAGTGAGGTCGAGAGGGTGCCGCCGTCTTTGTTCGCGTTTTGAAGCGGATGCACTTCTGTCCCGAACGAACGCGAGACCGCGAGAGGAGGTCTTCCTTGCCTCTACGGTGGAAGAGGATAAAGCGAGAGCGTGGCCGGTGTAATTACTCACCTTAGCAGGGGAAGGACCTCTGACCAAGGAAGGTGGCGCCCGGTTCTTCGGGCTGGCGCGGGGTTCCTCTTCCTGAGGAGCCGGGCCCGCCTGCTTGGCCAGGTTTCTCAAGGCTGCGGCGAAACTCCTGCTATTCTGTTGCCCGCCCGGTCCAGGTCCCGGAGTGTGACCCTGAGGTAGAACACCGGAACTGGGTCGGTGGGACTTGCCAATCGAGGTTGGCTGGGCTTTGGTGCTGGCAGGCTGTAAACCTGAAAGCAAGCGGGAGAGGTCAGCGCTCGGGCTCGTGCGAAATTTGCGCAACGTGTTTGACTTAATCGAGAGTAAAGAGGAGCAAGAACATAAAAAAAGGAAAAAAGAGAGAAATCTACGGCTCTGCTCGACGTCGACATGGCGCGCGCGGTTAGGTGAACCGCTCTTTCGCCGGAGATCTCCCCGGCGTGACACGGACGCGAGACGTTGAAGCGCTGCGACTCGCCAGGTGGTTGTCGCGATGATTTACCGAATTAATCTGCTCGCATTCAAAGGACGCACGCGTCCGCTCCGCAGGATGCGTGTCCGCATCGCACACGCTTGATTTTCTTTCCGGATGGAAATTTAATCAGCCGTGACGTTTAACTCATCCCTGTCATCGTCGTCCAGTGGACGAACTCGCTCTCTTTCTCTCCCCTCCCTTCTCCCCCTCTCTCTCTCTCTAGTACGCAGCTCGCGGTAACAACCTCCGATAACGCGTCTCGTACCGCGAAAGAGGCGTTATCGGGCGGAGATTAACGAGCGACCCCGTCGTCTCCACACGTGCATTCTCCCTCGTGCTCGGTAACGAGCGTGGCTCATAATTCCTCGCGGGTCGGAGGTCGCGCTCGTGTTGACGTGACCCGCCAGGGAGGTCGGCCGAGCATGATCGACTTCGTGGGAGATTAATTGCGAGACAGCCGCGGGCGGCGAGAGGCAGAAGAAAGGGACTAAGTATCGCCGCGAGTGTGCGTGTGCATACGTATATATGTATGTGTGTACACACACACACACACACACACACACACACACACACACACACACACACACACACACACACACACACACACACACACACACACGCGCGCGCGCGTACGCAAATCACAGATATCGCGGTGCGTACGAATATACCGATTCTCTCACCTTGGCGTGTCTACGTGAGACCGGACGACGCGCGCTTCGAATTTATGAGCGTCCGAGTAGCGTGCGAAACCGACCTTTTTTTTTAATCATTTATTATTAATCACTCTATGTGGTATCGCGCGGATACGGGTGTGAAACGTGCCTATCAATTCCCGGTAATCTCGCTCGCTCGATACATAACGCGGTGGTAATTGCGAGTGCGCGGCAATTAGCATCGAACAGTCGGAGATATCGTCGGGCTCGCACGCGACGAATCGATATTAATTTCATTTAGCGAGGATCGTCAGCCGTGACGCTGCGAAATGGCTGGCGCGATGCTGTCGTCGGACGAAATCGCATCGCGCGGCTCGACTCGAGTGTCGGCGTTCGGAGGTTCGCTCGCGATTTCCGTCTTTTCAGATTCCCGACGTCAGGACGGGAACGACGAGTGATAAGGTGATAAAATGCGCGATGCGCGCGCGCAGATGGCGACAATAATTAGGATTTACAGCGCGAGCGAGACGCCGGGCGAACAGGTAATAAAATATCCAGCCCGTTGCACGCACCGCGACGTTCGTTAATTAGACAAACGACGGTGACAATTAATCGCCGTTTGCGACCCGTGAAACAGGACGAATAATCGACGGGATAGCAGTAATTTTTAATCCGGCACAACTCGGCGGAGCGGTCGATTGTAGGAGCTGGCGACGATGACGACCGCCTCGGCAAAACCGAGCCGCATAATAATGAGCGAAGTGTAAGATGCGAACGAACGGAACATTAGCTATACTTTAAGCATTAATTTCAGCTCTAACTCGAGCTGTGTAACTCGAGCCGCCTCGCGCCGAGAATATCGCGAACCGAAGACAAATGCCGAGGTACCGCTACCCACGGAGACGACAAGATACGGTGAAATTGTTCAGATTATTAAGGGAGACAATTGATGATCGTTCATTCACGATGGAGAGTGTCGAGATGAAATTTCGAAGCGCCTCGGAAATGCATACTCGGCTGCTCTCAAGTCAGACTCTTTTGCTTTTTTAAAAGCGATATATTCTCCTAACGAAGCTGCAGGGAAAAGGACCAAAGGACCAAAAAAGGAGTACGTTGCGGCTCCGTTTTTCCGCCCTGCTCCTCTCACGATAAATACAACAACGAACAAACAAACGTTTTGCGAAACAACGCTCTCTTCGTAGCGTGCACTTCACTTTTTTATACTTTTAATAATATGCAAACAATACCGAGCGTATTATCGAACATTACATTTTCATGATATTGTTACATCTTCATAATATTGTTTATCATATTGCACCAAGTTTTACATGCAAACGCGCAACATTGCGCTGTTATATTGCGGCATTGCGACACGTTTTGCTTATTATGTCACGGAGTGAATGTGCGGAACTAGTGAAACGATCGAGAGGTGTCAAAGAGAATGACTCGAGACAATTTATAAGATGTAAATTTGGTTTCGTAATTTCGATGACGCGGATTCGACTGATTTCCGCCTCAATTGTTCGGACAGTCGATTCGGAATTAAAAAGAAAACGTTCGCTCGACAATCCTCCTTTTACGCTTCATATATCTTCCTCCCCCCTAGTTTTTCCCTTCTTCCCATCCGTTTTACGTTTTCTCAACAGCCGAGAAAGTGCATAATGACATCGACGGCGAATGCTCAGAGAGGAAAGGCGCATTATTGTCTCTCTGAAGTTTCCCGCTTCGAATGCGCAGAAAGCCGTGGAGAAGTCCGCCAGACAAATATATCGATACCCGCTGAGCCTCGATCGAACTAATGAGAATAAAAATAATGATGATAATAATAAAAAGAAAAACAAGTCGCGCGGGAAGAGAAGAAACGATCGCGGAGCGACCGCGACGATCTCCAACTTCCTTTCTTTTATCAAGGTTACCGACACATATCGGCATGCGAACCGCCCTTTGTCTTGGCACAAGGGAGCGACCGAGAGCGAGGAGGTCGTTCGTCCTTTCCTTCCTCGCGCGAGAAAAACGCTTTCGGGGGTGGAACGAGAAAATAACAAAGAGATAATGCCCGATGGTCCTTTCCGTCCCCCTCGCAACACACAGGAGTCTGTCCCGCCATTGAATTCTTCATCAGCGGAGTGCAGAGGCGACTTCGCGCTGTTTCGAGTCCTTTTCTCCCTTCAACCTCGCACTCCCTCTCTCTTTCTCTCTATCTTCGCGGCCCATCTTTATTCATCCCTCACTGCCATCTCGTCCTTGTCCCCGTACGCGCTCGGTCCTCATCCCCAAAACAGCCCGGAACCGAACTTCTTTTCGTCCGCATTGTTCGTCCCTCCTCGTGCGCGCGACGCTCGGAATTCAGTTTCGTCGTTTTTGATATCTACTCGCTCTCTCTTTCCCCCTCTCTCTCGCTCCAATAATGTCAGTGCGCGCTCACCTCGCGCGCGCTCGTCGATTCGACGAAAAGGCAAAAAGCCAACGGCGGGGGGAGAGCTAGCGGTCGGTGAATAACCGGCGACCAAGTACGGCCGACAACGCACGTCACGCCGGTCGCTCAAGACAAAGGCAGGAAGGTATCCGTCGCCGTCGATTCTTTTCTCGCGGCGGCACGTGCGCGCAGCGCGCGACGCCCGTCCTCGCCACCACCGAAGGGGTTTGCACATCCTCCTCGTGAGAAACGTTCTCATTTAATAGCAGACTATCTCTTCGCTGTGGCACCCCTTTGTTCTCGCGGACTGCCGGCGCCCCTCCCCCCCCGTCCCGCTGCCGCCGACGCTCGCTGTTTGAATAAACCGCGAGACGGCAGCGTCCGCTCCGGCAGAATCCGCTCGCACTTCGTCGGCGAAACTTCCGCGACCACAACTTCCTTCCCTCACTCCGTCCCACGATGAGGATTACCGCTAACTTACCTACCCCATCCCACCCTTGCGTCCCGACCTCTCGGCGGTCGGTATCTTCCATCGCGCTAATCGTCGTTCTCCCGACTCGACTACGCGCCTCCTACGAAGAGCGATCGTTCGATGACAGACGAGAGATATCCTCTCTCCCGGTGCCGAGTCGAGGGACTTCTCGCCCGCTCGTTACCAACGAGGGTGCGAAAACGTGCCCGGTCGGGGACACAGGGGCGAGGCGGGCGGGTAGCGAGCAGAAGAGAGGGGAAAACGACATTTACTGCTACCCGCTCTGCCACGGGTATCACGCGGGGGGTGAAGTCGGGTTGACTCCGTGTGTCGGAGCCACGAGGATTCCGTCGTGCTCGGGACAGGAGGCTGCGCGCGGCGGGAGGGGTAGGACAGCGGGGTTGCCGGGGGTGTTAAGCGGCTTACAGTCTGTTACCATGGTAACGCCACACCACTAAGACAGGAAGAGCCTGAATCCGGCCCGTTACGGTCCCTGCGACTCTCAGTACACCCTATCAACGGCGCTCTCTCGTGTCCCCGCGAAAGAGCAAAGGGAGGAAAAGGAGCGACGACGCGAAGGCGAAGGCGGCGGAGGGAGCGGAAACCGCCGAGCGGCGCGTCCTCCCCGCGAAGGAGGACGCTGGCTGGCGACCGGATTACGCCACTAACTTTGTTTTTACACCGAAGTGTTTTCATCGGCCGCTTCCGATGTACACACAGGCCGTCGTGTACATCGCACCTGTCTCCCCGCCAACCCCGCGGAGGCCACCACCCTCTTTCATCCCTCCAGACCTCTTGAGTCAGACTTTTGAATCCGAAACGAGTAGTTTCTTAGCGGCGAGACTTCACAGCTCATTGTTTCCCATTCCCAGCAGCGCTTCCTGCGGTCCTCGAGGTCCTCCCGCGATCCCGCAGCCCGAGCGTGAAATAAACAGAAGAGGTCGAGTCGCGCCATTTTTCTCGCGGAACCTTCTGCAACGGCCCTAATAAAGACCTTCGTCCTCGAGAACGCTCAACGAGACCTCGAGTTCACGCGATCGTTCATGCGATCCCGACGAGTCTTCCAAGTACACGTCGCTCGGTGTCATCCGTCAACCCACCCCCCCTCTCGTCGCGCGTCGGGGGTTAAACAAGACATCACGAAGGCACCCGGCCAAGACGAGCTCTCTCCTCCCGAGTTCAGCCCGGACTGTGCAAACTCTCGCCAAGTCTCACGAGGAAGTTCGTGCTGCGAC